ATATTTGATCTCTGCTTTAAATACAATGACAATAAGAAATAGAATACAAATAGCAGAATTGTTAACCCAGTTCAGTGAACGACAACACCTATGTCTGTGGGCTACCAAGCCAAGAATGAAATCCACTAGATAATATTAATTCTAAGCTAAACTCCTGTGTTTACAACTTATCATTTAATCACTACCCGTGCTTAATTTCTACCTAAGACTCTTCCTAGGTATGAGATCCTTCTCAATTCTCTTTCAATCACAGCAGTGACTAAAATTACAACTCAATATAAATTGTCCAACTCTGGTATCAACACGACACAAGAGAGGCTCACAATATACAAACCCTAAACTCACTAGGCAACAATGTATTTTTCCACACTTTTCCTAGGCTAAATCCATCCTATTTATAACCATAAATAAGACTAGATTTGGGCTTCAAAAACGTAGCAATTTTGTTCCACAGAATCTGCAAATAATTCTCCTCTAGAATAGTTTCTTCAATTCTAAGTTTCCTAAAGTGTCTCCACACTTAGAAACAACATCTTCAAATCACAATCATAATCTTTGATTCCTCAATCTTGGACGCCACCTAGAAAAAACAAATAATCTCATAATAATCTGAAATCTGGAATAACATAATTAAAATTGAAAAGTAACAGACAAAGATGTCAAATCATCATGATATGACATCTTGTTCAACACCTTGATCTTCAGTTAGTTCTTCATGTTAGGACATCTTTTTCAACATCTTGTTGACAAGTTAGTTTTACCAAAATTGATGTCAACCTCAAAGGCTTGGACTCATCAGAATTGATTAAAGATAAGAAGGTCACCCTTGAGCATGTTTGAACAGACAAACAATTAGCTAATATATTCATAAAAGCTCTTTATATTATTTAATTTGAGAATATTCTACCAGCTTTAGGGATTTGCATTACCAAGTTAAAGAAATTATTGATCGTCTGGCAAAATGGTATTTTTCGGGCCCACTAGAATGTTGGGTTTGGGCTCTCTTCATATATGGAGAAAGACCCAAATGTGATTAGCCCATTTGTCACATTTATTTAAGTGGAGAGGATCAATTTAGGGTTGAGATAGATAGAGGAAAAATAAAGATTCAAAAGAGAGAAAACAGGAGAGAAACTCATTCCCGTTTTTCTGTAACCAATTTGACTAAATCGACGATTCCCGATTTGTTAACTGTTGGGTCGAGCTCAAATTTAGAGGGTGGGTTCGTAACATATATATCTAACTTTTGACTGTTTAGAATTTCAAAACAACGTCTGAGGTGAAAGTTATCTACTTCGCACTGAAGTTGTAGGTTTGGGAAAAATTTCAACTCTTTTATTCTTACTTGTAAGCTAGTTTGGTTTGTGATTTGCAGTTGTTATCACTAGTTTGTGAATCACTTTAAGACTCTCTTGTACCCTTAATTGATTATAGTAGAATTATTACTTTGGTCTGGACGACTCGTGGTTTTGACTCTCTTCTTGAGGGGTTTTCCATGTTAAAAATATATGTGTTCTTTTGTGCCTTTATTTGTTCGATTTGTTGTCTTATATTTATTATTGATCCTCAAGGTTCCTACAAGTTTGGAGAGTTTTATATCCGTTGCGTATTGGTCTATTATTGTATCTTAATTTCCCATCAAAGTGGCATCAGAGCTCTTGGTTAAGGCCTATTTAACCTGTTTGAATAATGGAGTCAAATACAAATATGAAGATGATATTATTGAATGGTTCTAATTATCATTTATGGAAGGGCAAGATGAAAGACTTACTATTTATGAAGAAATTGCATTTATCAGGTTTTAGTTCCGCAAAACTGGATTCTATGTCTGATGAAGAATGGGAGTTTGAACATCAACAAGTATGTGGTTTTATTTGACAAAATGTAGTTATCATGCTCAACATCACACATAATTTTCTCTTTATCATTCTTAGTTGGTAGGACAATTGTTCAGTCCAGATCAATCGATTTTCACTTAAATTAGATTCACTATTTAAGCATTCTTCATAGTCATCATCACCATTGTTATCCCTCACTACATCATCATTCACTTCTACTTCATCATCATTGTATATCATCACTCACGTATACTTCATCACCATTGTTATCCCATGCTACATCATCACCAATGTTATCCCTTGCTACATCATCACCAAATTTCTCATTAGTACATTGAAAATCGTCATTATCAAATTTCAAATCATTTCCTAATTCAATATCATATATTATCTCAGGATTGTCAATGTTATGTTCAATATACACATCTATCAAACCAAAACCATTCACATCTTCAACAAATTGCAGATATCACCATCACAATTAAAAGGTCTTAGGCCACGAGTAAAGCTAAACCTAGGGTTCCAATACCACATACACCTAACATTTGTATATCCCTATTTCTTAATCATATCCTCCAATGGCATATAAAACATGTAATCAACATCCCATTCCTAATTCATTTCTAAAACATACCCATCATCATACCACTTAATATGGCTATCTAAAAGTTTACCCCTGTGATGAATTATTAACCTAATTTGTTGAGACTTGGCTGGCCTAGATAACATTGTAATTACGAAAATCAAAATCAAGACCACAAACCCTAACACTAACACAAATGTGACCACAACATTACTTTTCTGCATAAAATATTTCGTATTAAGATGATAGGGACCATAAACCCTAACCGACATGTGACCACTTACTAACTTTAAGCAAATGCATAGACATAAATGTGTGTTTCTATAAAGGGGAAAAGAGAAATACATACCTTAGGGAATATTTAACTTCTCTGTTTGCTTTCCCTGTTGCAGTTCGGTCGACCATTGAAATGATACTTGCTAACTCACGGAGCAGAAAGAACTTACGAAGAAGAACAAACTCACGAAGCATAACGAACACGTGAAAAAGAACGAGCTCATGATGTAGAAAGAATACGCGAACGAACAAGTGGTGATGATGAACAATTGAGTTTAAAGTGTTACTCTTAAGAATGTTAATAAAAAGATTATGAAAATATTTATATATTAAAAAGAGAATTAATAAATAAATAAACTGAATGAGATATGATTGAAATATTATTAAAAAATAAACAATTGTCAAAAAATAAATATATATTAATGTCACGTCATCAAAGTGTCAAATATGTATTTCGTGAGGGAGAAAAAAAAAACTAAAAAATTAAAATATTTAAAATAGAAGAAATAAAACTCTTTTAAGTCAAACTAAAATTATTTTAGATCATGCAAAGACCTTTATTCTCAAAATTAAGCCAAAAAGAGATGACCTTAATAAAAATGTTACATTTTATTAAAATTATAACTACTATTAAAAGTATAAAAAATTATTTAGATATATTTAAATAACATATTAGTCGTGAATATTTAATTATTTATTGATATATCAAATTTTTATTTTAAAAAAATTAAATGTTTAATATGGATTGATGGATTTATACATTTTAATTAATAGTATATACATGTTGTATGTTATATATTGTTCACAGATGGCCCATTAGTAAGAATATTTGAAATGACACTACATACATATAATGAATTAATACTTATAGAATCTCTTAAAATAATAAATATATCTTTTTAATAATTTATTATCTATTTAACCGTAATAACTTAATTAAATCCAATTTCCCAATTTTCTTCACGAACACTTGAACCCTAATTCCCCAAATCACAACTATGGGTAACCGAATCCACCAAATCGAACTTCAAATTCAACGAAATCAACAATTTTAGAGAACACCGCATTCATTTCTAGAACCTGCTTCCACCTTATACCCAACACCGCCACGAACCTCCGCTCACAGTTACAAGTGTCATAACAAATCTTCACTCCGCCGCCACTGATACTCAGGTAACGTTAATCTAGCTTCGAGTTTATCAAAGCCACCCATAAAAGAAAAAAAAAAGTTTCAATTTTTCAACTTTACTCATCAGTAAGAGAATTGTTTCATAAACGATGGGCTCTTATAAGAATAATAGCTGTTATGATTCTTGGAATTCTTGGAATTGGATGGTTTATTTTGGTATGCCACTCGCTGTTGGAAATTTGGGATTCAACATTTATTTGGCAGTAGTTTTGAGATTTTCAATTAAGCATCCATTTTTTTATTGCCCTTTTCATCATTCTGTTAGTAGTGGTTCTTTAAGATTTCTACATGATTACTTTTTTTGCTGCTTTGGTTTTGCTTAACTTTCTGTTTTGTTTAACATTGTTGCTTCTGCATTAGCACTTTTGACTTCTGTTTTTTTGTCTGTTTGAAGAAATGATCCCATATACTAAATGCTTCCAATTATTATACTTATCATATGGCTTTTAAATATACATGGTTTATGATTTGTAGAATTATTTATAGAAATTTATCTAAGTTGTGAATTGTATTTTAGTTTACCAATTTAGTCTTGGCTTTAAATTATCTAATGTATGTATTAAAGTTTTAGGCTCGGCTTTAAGATTATGATGACTTGGGAGTTCTTGGTAACTTTTCGAGACCGTATTAGATTATTTTTTTCTTTTTTTCGTGCCGACCTTACGAGTTTCTAAATTATTTTAATATACTTATTAGTTAGTATGTTATACAGAGGATTTTTTGTGAATCATTTTAATATACTTGTTAACAGGGTTTATACCGCGAAAACGGCCAGGAAAAAACAGTTTTGGTAGATGCCGATACCAATACCGTTATCACTGTTTTCTATATTAAAAAAAAAATTGTAGTTAATTCACACCGTGATACGCAATCAGCGTCGCACACCTGTACCGACCAAAATCACGAAAACCTTTACGCTATCGCGACTGTGACCGTTTTTTAGAACCTGGCTTGATAGTAGTATGTTTTTATTGCATTAAGTGTTACTACAAGTTAACCATGCTTCTAATTGTAATTTTGTTCTTCTGTTACTCAGGTGGCTCTTCTTGCTGCCTGTTTTTTATTTATTTAGAGATACAAGAATACTAAAAGTGACAAAAGGAATTGGTGCAAAATGCTTCAGCCCCAAATCGTGCAGTCCCCTGCGAGGCTAGGCCTTACAAACCCTAACTCACCTTCAATTTTGAACCCTAACCCACAAAAGCTACCTCCTTCACAGACCCACCATCACCAAAACCACCATTCTGCAACTCCTTCAGCTGCTCTACTCTCTCTTTTACCGCCTCTCCCTAGAGCACAGGCACTTCTTGCTCAAATGGCTACCTTAGCTTCAAAACTCTTTGAAGTATCACCCAACAGATCTGTTTGGCTCACTGCATTCCGTGGATCACTCCCAACATTCCTTTCTTCCCAAACCCAATCACACCCATCTTCCTTGCTTGAGTCTTCTTCGCCTTCCTCCACCAAAGAAATTATTTCACTTTTCACGTCCCTTCAAACCCAAATTTTTGAATCTGTTGCTGAACTCCAAGAAATTATTGATCTACAAGATGCCAAGAAGAAGCTTGACGGGGAAATTAGGTCAAAAGATTCAGCACTTCTTGCGTTTGCCAACAAACTCAAAGATGCTGAGCGGGAACTTGACATTCTGGTTGACGATTACTCTGACTATCGCCGCAGCATCAAGAGATTTAAATCAGAAGATGGGAGTGAAGATGATTCTGTAACCACTTCGACTATCACATCTCAGCTGAAACTGTCAGATATATTATCATATGCTCATCGAATAAGTTATACAACCTTTGCACCACCGGAATTTGGAGCAGGAACGGCTCCTCTTCGCGGTGCAATGCCACCTGCACCACAAGAGGAACAAATGAGAGCTTCACAGTTATATAACTTTGCAGATCTTGATATTGGTTTGCCTAAAGCAGTTGATTATAAGGAGAAAACAGTTGAGGCTATTATTGAGCCTCCACCTTTACAGCCCGTGGATACCAATCCACTTGCAAATTTGTCTGCAATTCAAGGGATGCTTCCTCCCAATTTTTCTATTCCGCCTGGTTGGAAACCTGGAATGCCTGTACAATTGCCTATTGATATGCCAATTAAGCCCCCACCTGGGTGGAAACCAGGGGATCCTGTGGCATTGCCTCCTATTGACTCGGTACCAAGATTTGAGGAACCTAAAATACCCCCTCACATCCCTCAGCCCAAGCAGCCTGAAATTATTCAAGTGCAGCATGTTAATTTGGATCTTGGAGGAACTGATAGTAGTGATTATAGTAGTGACGAGGCAAGCTCTGATGACGAAGATTGAGAAGTCCATAAAGTTTATCTTCTCATCTCAAATTGTCGACTGTACAAGTGAGGGTTTGTTTATTAAGTTTTCCTCTTAATTTAAATTTGTTGGAAATACATGATTTATGTGAATTCTTGGCAGTGAGTTTTAATATGATATCTATCTTTAGCATTGAGAAGTTGTATTGATTGTTTAAAAAAATAACTTCTCAGCATCTATCTATGTGAATCCTCTGCGGAGGGATCTTAGGGTTTCTGCTGTAAGCTCTAGAAAGCAGAATGTATAGGTTTTATAATCTTGAAAATTTCAAATTAGCGCTGCATTTATTTTTATTTTTATGAAAGTTAAAAAATCACACTTTTTTAAACAAGTAAAATGAATTTTCATTTTGTAGAAATTTCCACCTCTTAACTGCACATTTCTCATCCAAATATCCACTTAACTGCACATTTCTCATCCAAATATCCAATTATTCTTCTCTCTTCTACATGGTTCTCTCTTCTACATGGTACAAAGTCACTCGTAGTAATAATCTTTTCTTACACATAGATGCCCATTTTCCAAGTCCCTCGTAACCATGGTTGTCAAGATCTCAATCTAGATCTTAATCTTAAGATTTTATAATCTCACTCACCCCCCAACGATCCCGATCTTTAGTAGAATTGTGTGCTGTAGCCAAATAAAATTGTAAGATCATTGATTTTGTGCGATCTTTGCCAGTTTTGGACATGATTGGTTGTTTTCTTGCCACCACCATTAAAAGTGAGAAGGATGACAAGATGAAACGGCACAACATTTACTGTTCGGTGGGGATAAATGCGTGCCTTTTGAAATGATAAAGTTTTAGATTTAGGGTTTAGAGAATAAACATCTCACTTTAGGGTTTGTTTTAAGGAATTGACTTATGATAATATTAGTAATTGACCAAATATGTCACTAATGTCTAACAAATGTTCTATGTCACTAATGTCTAACAAATGTTCCATGTGGTAGGAATAAAGTATAACAACTCAATGATACATATTTAAAGAATATGAAAACTGAGTTATTTTTTTGCGAATACACTTGCCTACTAACATATATCATGTAAAAATATTTAAAATATATAATATTATTTTTTCATTTTAGTAGAATCATACGATTTTTGTTGCGATCTTATGTTTTACGATCTTGTTACCCCCTCTCAATCTTACAAAAATAATTGGGTAGGATCTTCCGTTATTAGCTATGATTTTATATTTTCCTGATCTTATGCATGATCTCGATCTTGACAACCTTGCTCATAACTCATTTTGCACAACACCATTTTCACTCTTTTACTCACTGCAAATGCAGCCATTATCTTTCACCAGTTTCAATGTTCTACACATTTCTCACCTGCTGAATTTTTGCCCACTTAGTGCATGTTTGGATTGGCGACGGCTTTCACAGAGTCACAGTGTACTCGAGTTTTTACCTGGATTTTTTACTCATGCATAATAGGTTATACACACAGGAGGACCAGTCACAGCTTGAGAGGGGAAAAGAGTTTATCTACCTTGGCCAGCATAAGTTAATTTGAGAAAATACACACAGGACGGTAACTCAACATCTTTTTCGTTTCTCTATTATCATTTTTTCCCGCTAAAATGAGACGGTTGAAGATAATGTAGTTGATTCTGATATCTTGATTGTTACTGTCAGTCTCATGATTTCTGGTTTTGTAGAAGTTGCTAAATGAGTTTAATATTTGGATCTGACATATCTAAATAGACTGATTGTTCCTTTTATTTATTGCTATTGGTTCATGTTGTCACGATGCTGTATGTTTTGGATATCCTTTGCAATTTATTTTATGCGAGTCGTGTATTTGGAGTGGTTGGCGAGGTCGTGTCTAATGTCTTCTGGTTTAGTTTTGAGTATGAAGGGTGGTCATAACTTTGTTACAAGATAAACTATGATATTAACACATCATATTCCGTTTTTAAGAAAGCAAATGAAGATGATTCTTTAACCTCCTTAAATGTCTCATCTAAGATGAAACTACTGAAAATATGTCGTATGCTCATGGAATAAATTATACTCCCACTAGTTTTTAGAAAATTTATGTTTTAGATAATTAATATATTTGGTTAATATATCAACATATCCTCTTCACGGTGCACTGCACCTCACCAAAAGTAGGTTTTAAAGAATTATTTTAAATCTTAATCCTTTATTTATGTATTTTGGTCTTATAACTTTTATTCTATTTTTAATGTATATTTTTAAAAAATATTAATTTAAAATATCAAATAGGTAAAAAAAAAATTAAATCTAAAAAAAATGATTTATAAGTTTGTAAAACAAATAAGTTTAATCTAATGAAATGAGTCTAACGAGTTGAATCGAGTTGTTTATAAATTTATAATGAGTCGAGTTTGAGTTTAAAAAAGTTCGAATCGAACTTGAGTCGAGTTTTGAGCTGAACGAATTTTTATTGAATTGAGTCGAGTTAATGCGAGTTCGACATGACTCAGACTTATTTTCAGCCATAAATGTACTTATTTATGATATTTTTATTCATTGAGTTGGTTTATTTAACAATTTAGTGACGATTTTGGAGATGCATATCCATAAATGTCAAATAAAAAATTGAATAAAATACTACCTTACATGTTCTTCTTCATGATGATCAAACTTAATTTCACTCTCGAAATTCTAAAAAAATTTCTTCCATTCTAAATCAACTTTTGAACACCAAAACTTCATTTATAATTTATCATATTAAAGGAAGTAAAAAAAATTAAAATTTAAAGTAAATATCATTCATTTAATCTCTTATTTCTTGCATTAATTTTTTAGCTGAAAAAAAGAACGTTGAGTCTGGATATGCATCTCTAAACTAAGTTTCATGTATTTTAAAGATGCATATCTGGTTGTGTCTAATACTTTGAGTTTTTAATTCGTTTTTTTTTGTTAGGATTTGTATTAGGTATGGGTGCACATATCTAAGATCTAACAAGTATAGATTTTTATTTTTGAAAATTAATGGTATTACTTTTACAAACAAGACTTTTTTAGTGGATTTTTAGAATTGAAAAAAAGAGGACAATGTTGCATAGATTTTGGAAATATGCAAGATTATGTTAAAGGACAAAAAAAATGCCAAATGTATTGTCACTGATTGCGACATAGCAATGATGAATTTAGTTGCAAATGTGTTTTCTACATTGTACGTATTACTTTGTAAGAATCATATGACAAAAAATGTGAGAAGACAATTAATGTTAAAATGTATTATGGATAAAAAAAATTATTGAGATTAAATATTTGGTTTTATTGACTCATGCAAATTATTTTATTTGCATAAATTTTGTGATATTATTTATTTAAAAGAATTTATGAAAACAACATTAATACATTATTAATAAAAAACTTATTTTCATAACTTCAAAGTAACTAAAATTTATTTTTATATGTTAATTTAAAATATAAAATAAAATATAATAATATTAAATTTAGAGAAAAGAGGTGATCAGCAACAATGTAAAATATCAACCAATGACGATAATGTATTTCGATCAATTATATTATATTTTAAAATTCGTTTAATAATGTAATAGTTAGTTGATTTTCTATTGAAAACAGTATAAAATTATTTTATACTATTTATTCATATCTATTAAACTCTTAAATTTATCCATACTAATTTTATTATATTTATTTGATAAACTTAAAACTTCTTTATTGATTGTGACCTAGTTTTTTTTTTAATTAGTACATTTATAAAAAATCTAAATAGTTTTTATTTAATTGAAAAACGGACATAATTTAGATATGTGTAGGCTCGTGTAACCTGTTCCTATCGTATTTAAAATTAATTGAAATAAAAAAAGAATATGTATTATTACATACTTTTTTTTATATTGTCAACTAAAAATACTATGCATTCCATTAAATCATATTAAAAATTTTAAAATTAATTATATAATATGACAAAATAATATATTATTATTAAATAATAATATAAAATATTTTTACACTTTCAATGCATAATAATTAAACACTTTAAATAAAACACTATTTGATTTAGTTAATTTTAAAAAAAATAAATTATTTGAATTTTATTACTACAAAGAAAGTCCGGTAGCTTTTTTACATAGTAGAAATGAAGTCCTTTAACTTTTAATAAAAAACAGCAATGTCCATAAACAAAGTGCAGTAACAGGGTGAACAAACAGGGAATAATTAGATTGTTTAATGAAAAAGAAAAAACCAAGAGTGAAAACAAAAAGATTTTTCAAGAGTTTGGGTGGTTTTGTAAACGGAGAAAAGACAAGATCACGCGAATCTCGAGATCGAAAAAGAAGAAGATGATGCCGCGTGGTGGACAAATGTTGTGAGTTAGGGAAAATGAAAAGGACAGGCACACGAGTTTGGTCAATACTGGACGCGTGGATACTCGAATCGTCCGTACATCTGTCGTAGTCTAAGTTTTTGTTCCAAACGTACGGATACTCTGTGTTTTGTCGCCTACTGCTGCCCCTCAATGTCATTCACAAACCCTATCCCTTACTCATCACTCATCAATCCACTACCCCTTCAAATTTAATTGAAAATTCCAATAGAAACTCTAAATTTTAAAAATGAGGAGTTGATATCAACCTTTTTCTAATGGTTTAAAATTTGGATTTGTTATGAATATGGTTAAACCATCAAATCACTAGATTACTGGTTAAATTAGTGAGTCTTTGATGGGACTAGTGACTGTTATTTAATTTATATAAATAAAAAAGTAAAATATAATATTTTTTTGAATTTTTTTCCATCTTGCTACAGTCTTAGAAGATAAATTCCCAAATGTCATACTTTTACACATAAATGCCAAAGTGTCATGTTTTCAAAAAAAATCAATTTTTGGAACAATGTAACAGCCCATACATTGGGCGGCACTGCCTTTCTGAAATAGGGAACCGCCCATCCGACAGTGTGTATGATGAATTTTTTCATTTTTTTTTTTTAATTTTGTTTGTTACATTTAATATGTTTATAACATT